TGGTTGCACTGTCTTCTTCTGTGGCCTGGTAAGACTGCTCCTCCCTCAGGGGGAGGTGACTAAAGAGCCAGCCACTTAGTTTATGTCAGAGACAGCCCCTGTTCCCCTTACTAGTGAAGCCACTTGGAGACTGAGCTGCCATGGGCTACATCTGTGCAGGGGTTCTAGGGTATATCCATGCATGGTCCTTGGTTGGAGAATCAGTCTCAGAAAAGACCCCTGGGCCCAGATTTTTGGTTCTGATGCTCTCCTTGTGGTGCTCCTGTCCCTTCCAAGTCTCTGTCTCCCCCTTCTTTCATAAGATTCCCTGTACTCTGCCCAAAGTTGGACATCTGCTTTGATACCCTGCTGGGTAGAGTCTTTCAGAGGCCCTCTGTGGTAGGCACCTGTTCCCTGTTTTCTCCCTCTTCCAATGTCCATCTTGTTTGCCCTTCTGAATGAGGATTGATCATCTTACCTAAGGTCTCCTTCTAGCTCAGCTTCTTTAGGTGTACAGATTTTTATAGGTTTATCTTATATTATAGGTCTAATATCCACTTATAAATGAGTATATACCACGTGTGTCTTTCTTCTTCTGGGATACCTCACTCAGGATGATCTTTTCTAGTTCCCACCATTTGCCTGCAAATTTCATGATTTCCTTGTTTTTAATTGCTGAGTACTATTCCATTGTGTAAAAGTACCACAATTTCTGTATCCATTCCTCAGTTCAGGGACATCTGGGTTGTTTCTAGATTCTGGCTATTATTAATAAAGCTGCCACGAATATGGTTGAGCCAATTCCTTATTGTATACTTGACCATATTTTGGGTATATGCCTAGGAATGGTAGCTGGATCTTGAGGTATCACTATTCTTAATTGTCTGAGAAAGTGCCAGATTGATTTCCAAAGTGGTTGTGCAAGTTTATATTCCCACCAGCAATGGAGGAGGGTTCCCCTTTCTCCACATCCTCTCCAGCATGTATTGGCACTTGAGTTTTGATCTTAGCTTTCTGATGGGTTTAGGGTAAAATCTCAGGGTTGTTTTGGTTTGCATTTCCCTGATGATTAAGGATGCTGAGCATTTCTTTAAGTGTTTCTCTGCCATTTGATATTTCTCTATTGAGAATTCTCTGTTTACCTCTGTCCCCTGTTTTTTAGTTGGATTATTTGACTTGTTGCTTTTTATCTTATTGAGTTCTTTATATATTCTGGATATCAGCCCTCTGTCAAATATAGGGTTGGTGAAGATCCTTTCCCAGTCTGTAGGATGTCGTTTTGTTCTGACGATAGTGTCCTTTGCTTTACAGAAGCTTTTCAGTTTCATGAGGTCCCATTTATTGATTTTTGCTCTTAGAGCCTGTGCTATTGGTGTTCTGTTCAGGAAGTTGTCCCCTGTGCCAATGAGTTCAAGGCTCTTCCCCACTTTTTCTTCTAACCTATTTAGTGTATCTGGTTTTATGTTGAGGTCTTTGACCCACTTGGCAATCTACAAATTCAATGCAATTCCTGTCAAAATACCAACACAATTCTTTACAGAACTTGAAAGAACAATTCTCAATTTCATATGGGGAAAAAAAAACCCAGAATTTCTAAAAGGATTCTGTACAACAACAGATCATCTGGAGATATCTCCATCCCTGATTTCAAGGTGTACTACAGAGTAATAGTAATAAAAACTGCATGGTACTGGCATAAAGACAGAATGGTGGATCAAGGGAATAGAATAGAAGACCCAGAAATAAACCCACACACCTATGGATACTTGATTTTTAACAAAGAAGCCAAAACCATACAATGGAAAAACGCAGCATCTTCAACAAATGGTGCTGGTCTAACTGGATGTCTATATGTAGAAATATGCAAATAGATCCATATTCACCACCCTGAACAAAACTAAAGTCCAAGTGGATCAAACCTCAACATAAAACCAGACACACTAAATCCATCATCAGTGTTTCTTATGCAAATACATTCACCTTGAAACTTTCTCCATGAGCTATTCTTGCCACCCCTGTCTGGAACAGTAAGGCAGCATCTTCTACCCTTACTCATAGTATTCTGCTCACAAACTGAAATCAAAGAAGACAACCATCTTTGAGCATTTAGAGCACAAGTTTGGATTCTCAGTGGTCCAGTGAGTCTTGACTTTTTTCAGAGTGAGAGAGAAGCATCCTCCAAGAAGCCTGCTAAGTTCCTCCTCTCTGGTTATAGTAATCCTATCAGCAGCATGGTATCCCAATTTGGTCAGTGAAACTGTCATCCTTGCCAGGAACCAAGTAATCTGGCTTACGCTGTCACCTGGGGCACACATGTGTTAGAAAGCTACCCCTTACATTCTGCTAGCTGTATGCCGATGGATATAGCTGGGCACTCTATCACTGCCTCTGATGTAAGCTGGGTACCTCATTTGAACGCATTGCCAAGATAAAGACAATGAGACTGATGCTGAGATGTTTACAGTTTTAAATAAGAAACTTTAGTCCTGATGGCCTCCCACCCCAGTGTTAAGTAGCAGATGAGAACAGAGCCATCTGCTGACTCAGCTATCAGAGTGAGATGTAAATGGATGGCAGATATGTAATTGGATGCCTGTTTGAGGTAATGCTTTGTTACACTTGAATTTTTCCACATGTTCAGGTGTAGCATAGAAAATAACTTTAATTTTACACAAATCAGTAAAACTTTTGTATAATATATATGGATACTTCTTTTATCTTGTCTTAAGAGAAAGAATTATCTTTCTGTTTTGTAAGAAATTGTGTCCCTACCATCTTTCCTGGTCCTCCGTTAATGTAAATCCTACCCTTCATTTCCAGGTATATTGCGAGGTATAAGTGTCAAGTTGGTCCTGTCAGTTTGAACTTGAAAGGCACACCTTAACTAAAGCTGCACAATTTCCTGACATTCAGTAAGCATCAGGCGTTGTTGCAACTTCTTGTATCGACTTCCTCATTTCTAAGACAGGATAACAATTCCCTTGGAGTCTCAGTGAAGAAGAACAGTTAAATGTATAGCAGGAGGACAACCTGTTATACATTTGCAAACTAGGTCCTTAAATGCAGGGGTGTGTTCCTCTTGAAAACTCCTTTCAAGGTATTTCTTATAAGGATCTGGTTATTAGCAGTTTACGTAAGATTTCCGAACTAATGTAAAACGAAATCCATAGCAAACGCTTTCTTTTGGCCTTGTTTCAGCATGTGAAACTGGCAATTAGGACTCTGCATGAGGAAACGCAAAACCAGCTATGGCCTGATGCTGAGGGGGGGAGGGGTGTTCATAGAGATAGTTACAACATTTTGTCGGCAACTCGACGTCTTCAGTCACCTTTGACTCTATGACGGCTTGCTCTCCATACCACCAACTTCTGCTATTGATCTGTATAAAAGAGAAAGGTTTCTTTTCAGGATCAATTGGTCATTAGTAAGAAATCACCCTGCCCTAGATGCCTTGGAGGTGTGGCTGCTGTGTCCCACGTGTGTCAGTAGGTGGCAGGGAGGAGAGAGGCCTTGTTATACTCACTGTTCTGACCTCTGAACATCTGAATGATCAGTAGCCTGGAATTCCCTGAAAAAAAAAAAAATGATCCTGAGACAAGCACCATTCTGGCCGTGCTCTTGGGGTAGGAAGCGAGGCAATGAGCCAAAAAGCCAAGCTGCTGAGGACCTGAGCCAGGGAGAAGAGTTCTACCTGGGATGAGAGTTTGTAGGAGAATCTGATTACTAGCAGTTTACATGAGATTTCCAAATTAATGTACCAGACCAATGTCACCAATGAACATTTGCAAGCAAAAAAGATGTGGACAAAAGGGTTTGAGTGGGGCACACTGCGACCCAACTATGGCTTCCACAGTGAGATTGTTTTTCTCATTGTGAGGACAGATTCAAAGGGAAGGGAAGAAGAATGGAAATAGGGTGCATGATATGTAATTCACAAGAAACAATAAAAAGTTTAAAAAAAAAAAGAAAAGACAGACAGAAAAGAAGAAAAAAGAAAAATAGAAAGAAAGTTTACAATAAATATCAAAAGTCAGATTTATGCTAGCTGATCAATTGCTGCTATCAATACCTTCTCTGCAGGTGTTAGCCAGTGATCAAGCATTCCAGCATTTGGTCTTTCCAGATCCTACCTAAATTTCAAAGACATAAAGTACCTTTCTGGGTTGTTATTTGTTTATGTTTTTGGGTTTCAAAACAAGTAGTCTACCCACTGCTGTCTATCTTGTCCGAATGGAAATTAAGATGAGATATTAAAATATCCATCAAAGTTGTTATTATTTATAGACATTTGCATATACAGCTTCAAATTATTAACCCTCTCTAGTTTTGTTTCGATCAAGTAACTGTAAATAACTATTTAGATGATTTACCTTCATTAATGAGGCTTCTCATAAGATCTTTCAACTACACTTACCAATATTCGTGTTTTCAGAGAGCCTCATAACACACTAGGCTAACACCCTAGGCGTGCCATTATAGTGTTCAAGGTCCTCCTGGGCGGCATCAGGTTTGAACACCCAACTAGGAATCATTAATTCAAATCAAGTGCAGGTAACTTAAGGTGATTTTGAATACTTATTTGCTGCTATGTCTGGAGAATATGACGTATAAAAGCACTTGGTGAGCTGTTCGCCACTGAAACCAGAAGGAAGGGTTGGCAACAATGTGCTGGCCCAGGGAGGGCGCAGCAATTGCCATTCATGGGGCCTTGAGGGCCTCACATCTATGCTTCCTCTTGCCTCAGCTCTGTGCCAGTTTGTCCTCTTGCTGGCCTGAAACCCCTTGTGTTTGTAACTCTTATGCTGCTTTGACATGGTTTTCTCATTCTTTTAAAACCATGATTCCTCAGTATGACAATTCTTCCAAAAGTCAAAATCCAGATTTTCCCAAAATGTCCCAACAGGGCAGGAATATTTATGCTGGTTGTCATTTAATCTGACGACTCTAAAACAAGTTGATTATTTTATAAATGTCTACATAAATCATCATTGCCCTGAATTTAACTGGTTGCTGACACCTCCTTAGTAAGTGTTGCCTAGTCTGAGAAACAGAGAAAGGATTGTAAATTAGCCATCATTACACTCTTAGGATGGGACTACAAGGCTCCCTGTTTACCCTTGCTTCAGAATTACCTCACCAAACAAACCATGGCTTGCACTGGTGTTAAGGCTGAAACGAAAGCTTTGCCACACCTTAATTACAGTTTAGAAGCACACAAGTAGTATAAATTGTGCATGGATTGTGGAACAGGGCTTCCAGCCTTGTTTTGCCTCTGACTTTTCTTGCCTTCTACCTATTCTATTCACAGACCTGCTCCCAAATTTGTCTCTTTTGACCCACACCCCATAAAATGACCTGCCATATGAAGAAACTCCAGTTGCTGGGGAAATCGACCTTCTAAATTAGCTACACATCATGAAGGCTTTCCGTTGGAAGGGTCCTGAGGGTTTACTGAGGTTCTCCAATTGTCCTTGGCCCCTCAGGACAAGAAGGATGCTGTAGCTGGTTCTTCTTTTTCTCCACCCTTCCTCCACCCCATTTTACCCCTTTATCTCTAGATAGGAGAGAAAGAAGGATGTGAGGGAGGGGGAGAGAGAGAGATCCCTGAATCTAATTTCTTCTTGTTTCTTCTTTGAACACATCGAACAAACCACAACCAACCCCCATGAACAACGGACAATGACCACCTATGCCATAGCCTCTGGAAACTTCCCAGAATTTCAAATGTCACACAATCACAGAAACTCTCTGCACCTGGCAGGACCACGTTCCTGCTAGGGCACGAGGCAAATTATATTCAGCCGCCGTGGATAGTCCAAAGCAGCCCCACATCCCCACACGTGGGATTAAAGCAAAAAACATATTCTTATGATATTTTTGTGTTTTTTAAAGAAACAAAAATTCCAGAATTCTCACTACAGGGTGCCTGTCAGAAAATTTTTGAAACAAGTTTTGGTTATGTCCTGAAAACGTTATACTCAGTAGCGCTAGCTTCCTTCCAAAAGGTCATATTTATATTACTTAACCATGTTCAAGCACTTCCTATAGTGTATTTTACTATTAATGCATGTACTTACCGTCCACTTAACGCTTCCTCTCTGTGCCAGAAACCTTTGGTGATATTCCGCTTAACAACCATGAAGGCAGCCATAATAAGGAAAGGCAGAAACACATAGAAACTGATCAAAAGTCCCTTTTTGAACCGAGCGCCTCGCCGCTTGACAATCAAAGGCGTGCTTTTATCTGAAAGTGTGAAAGTGCCATTTAACTTTTCCAAAACCAGGCATGACTAGTGCAGACCAGTGATTTGAATTACTTTGCTTTGTCTTCTACGATGTCTCAGTTTTAGCTTTTGTATACTCTTAGTTGATTTTAAGTTAACTTTTATGTGCAGTATATGAATTCAAATGTTCTTTTGTATGGCACTCTTGGTTCTCTTAAGAAAGGCAAACAACACTCATCTTAACAACTAAAAAAAATGATGCCTAAAGCTATGTATCTTTTCAACCTTACTTTTATTTCATTTTGTTGTTTTAAAAATCTTCACTCTTGCAATAAAATGTTTTTAGTTTTAAAATTATTCTGTTATTTTACAGCTGTTTCGTTTCTAAGCCTATTCAACTCTACTCAACTTACACTCCGAACACCTTCTCTCTTATTCATAATCCACAGGCCTCTTTCTCCACCTGCTCTTTGATTTACTTTTAATTATACTTTTCTGTAGTTTTAATGAGTCTAAAACTCCATTTACTTTAACAATAACTCGCTCCCTCTTGTTCACTTTTCCTTCCTCTATTTTTTTTTCTTTGCTTAAATAA